TTATAAAATCAAAATAGATATGATTTTTATTATTTTAGAATGGCCTTAGCAGTTTGATGAATGCTAAATACATTTACATAGTAGCTGATAAAAACCAGCTGTTTCATTGTTTTGCCCAAGACCAGTTGGGTTAGCAGTTTCAAAGTTATTTGGCTAGAAGTTTTCTTGAAAAGAATAGTCAAGTGCTATGATAATATAGTCAAATTTTCTTTTCTCTTTGTAAAGGAGGGTCTTTGTTTGTGTACATTAAAGGTTACTATAATGATATTGCTTTAAAACAGTAATTTTTGAACAGCAGTTATTTGTGTGTATGACTTTCATGATTTTTTTTCTGTATCTTTTTGACATGATTTACTACTTTCATGATTTTGCTATCACCTATACCAGTATTTCACTAAGTTTAGTGTACATGAGATACACCCCTAAAGTGTATTAAAACAGTTTTTGGGGCTGCCCCACTAGGGGTTTCCTGATACGGGACTTCCCTGATAGCTCAGTTGGTGAAGAATCCGCCTGCAATACAGTCGACTCCAGTCGGGAAGATCCGCTGGAGAAGGGATGGGCTACCCACTCCAGTGTTCTTGGGCTTCCCTTGTCAGAGGGAGTCAGAGGAAGAGGGGTGACCAGGATGGAAGACAGTGTTTGTACTGTCATTTTCAGATGACATCCATCCCAGTATGCACTGTTTTGGTGTTTAAAAGTGAGCCATGAGGTCCAGCCACACTCAGGGAGGACAAGGGTGTAAATGTCAAAACAGCAGGAATCTACATTGGGGACCCTCTTAGGTATTACCACATCCTGCCTAACACAGATCCTTGATTTTATAAGGAAGAAAGATAGTCAACAGCTGGAGGATTCTTTGTACTACTTCCTAAGATTTATTTTTACAGAGGTAGGGGAAGTTTGGGGTGGGTATTGTTAGGGTGCAGTGCCCTTGAGCAGAGGGAGAGGGTACAGACACTAGCTGCTGGGTTCATCAGGTGGACTCTGAATACCTGAAGATACTGAAGGCTTGAATAGCGGTGTAGAGTAGGAGTCAGACACTGTTTATCTTCAGCATTTGAATGCTCTGATTTAGGACAATATGAAATACCTCTTCTGTTCCTATTAAAGAAATTAGTGCAGTTTGAGAACTAGTGCATTTCAAGTGATGCTCAATTTATAGGCAGGAAATAGTTACTGTTCTATGTCATTCTATACCATTTGTTTTATTTTTTTTCCATTTATTTTTATTAGTTGGAGGCTATTTACTTTACATCATTGCAGTGGTTTTTGTCATACATTGAAATGAATTAGCCATGGATTTACATGTATTCCCCATCCCGGTCCCCCCTCCCACCTCCCTCTCCGCCCGATCCCTCTGGGTCTTCCCAGTGCACCAGGCCCGAGCACTTGTCTCATGCACCCTATATCATTTGTTTTATGAATTCTCAGCATAGCAACATTTTGTATACTGTCATATTTTGTCCTATAGAGTATGTAGCAAAGAACTATAGATATCAACTGAAAATAATTTCACTTAACAAACATAATGGGTTAGAATCTAGGTAACAACTTGGAGAATTTAGTCTCAAATCTCTCTCTTTCATTCCAGCTTCACTCCCCTGTAGTTCAGGCCCCCAGTGTATTCATTCAGAACCATAGCAAACTTGACTTCTAACTAAACTCTTCCCTCTAGGCTGATTTGAAAGGAATGAATTCTTCTCAGAGTCATTCTCAGCCTTATTAAATCGTGTTCTGTACTTCTTCTTAAAAATCATCTTTGAGGTTTAAATAGCATATGACAAAACAGACATAATTTAAGTGTGCAGCATTTGAGTTTTGACAGTACATGGTGTAACCTCCGTGATCAGTATGCTGGAGTGTGTTTTCATCCTCCCCAAAATCTTCCCAGTCAGGTCTCAGCCCTCCACCCCTAGCCTTGGGCACCTGTTGTTTTGTTGTTTAATAGATGTAACTCCATGGCTGATTCATGTCAATGTATGACAGAACCCACTACAATGTTGTGAAGTAATTAGCCTCCAACTAATAAAAATAAATGGAAAAAAAAAAGATGATATCTATCTTTCCTAGTGTTTCATGTAAATGAAATCATACTGTATGCAGTTTTTTGTGCCAGTCTTTTTCATTTAGCATGAAATTTATCCATGTTATTGCATATATTAGTTGTCTTTCATTGGGGAAGGACTGATGTGAAGCTGAAGATCCACTACTTTGGCTATCTGATTCGAAGTGCCAACTCATTGGAAAAGCCCCTGATGCTGGGAAAGATTGAGGGCAAAAGGAGAAGTGGATGGCAGAGGATGAGGTGGTGGGATGGCGTCACCGACTCGATGGACGTGAATTTGAGCAAGCTCTGAGAGCTGGTGGAAGAAAGGGAAGCCTGGCTTGCTGTTGTCCACAGGGCTGCAGAGTCAGACACGACTTAGTGATGAGCAACAGGTTGTCTTTCTCTTTTATTACTGAGTAGTATTTCATTGTATGGATATGTAGGTTTTATCAATTTACCTGTTGATAGTCATTTGGATTGTTTATACTTCGGGGCTTTTCTCAGGGTCTGCAGACTTGAGTGACCATCCATCCATTTTTATAAAAGCAGTTTGTTTTATTGAAAGGAAGCTCTGCCTATTCCTTTCATGTTTGTGGCTGTGGCGGCAGAGATGAGTAGTTATGACAGACCAGCCACGTGGTCCTCAAAGCCTTACTTGTTACTGGCGGATGTTTAAGTTAAAATGATCAACCCTGCTGTTGCATACAGATAAAACTGCCATAAACATGTACAGGTATTTTCTTGGGCATCAAACATTTTTCTCTCAGTTCTTAGAACTGGAATTGCTGGACTATATAGTAGATATGGGCTTCCCAGGTGGTGCTAGTGGTAAAGGATCTGCCTGCCAGTGCAAGAGATACAAGAGACTCGAGTTCAAAAAAAACCAAAAAGAGACTCGAGTTCAATCCCTGGGTCAGGAAGATCGCCTGGAGGAGGGCATGGCAACCCCTCTTGCCTAGAGAATCCTATGGACAGGGGAGCCTGGAGAACTACAATCCATAGGGTTGCAAAGAGTCTGACGTGACTGAAACAGCACACACATGCACAGCAGATGGATGTTTTCAGTAAAGAAGAAATTGAATTTTTAAAAAACTTATTGAAAAGAATGAAGTCATGTGGGAGGTGTAATGTTTAAGTATGTATAATAAAAAAATTACCTTATCTGAAGTGGTAATGCCATTTTATTTTTTTCACCACTGGTGGATAAGAGCTGGGCTTCCCAGGTGGTGCTAGTAGTAATCTGCCTGCCAGTGCAGGAGACACAAGAGTTGCTGGTTCAGCCTCTGGGTCTGGACGATTGTCTGGAGGAGGAAGTGGCAACCCACTCCAGAATTCTTGCCTGGGAAATCCCATGGGCAGAGGAGCCTGGCTGGCTACCGTGTATAGAGTTGCAGAGTTGGATGCAACTGAAACATTTTAGCATGCAGCATCATCCATCTCATAAGAATTTTCAATTGATTGACAACTAGATTCCTGCCATTTAAATTTTGCTTTTCCATGAAAAAATATCCATGGATGACACTAGGTTTACTTCTAAGTGAGGGATTCTTAACTGAGCTTGGTGAAATACCTGAAACCATGTGTAAAATTTGTGTTTGTGATTTTTACCTGGGGAGGAAATTTATAATTTTATCAGATTTCATTATGTGGTCTATTACTAGGAAATGTTTACTTCTAAGAACTATTCTATTCTTATGCTGGAGAAAAATTTGCTCCAAATCAGATTTCTATTAATTTATACATTTTCCTTACTGATAAGAATCTTGTTTTACTTTATAGTTATGCTAACAAAATATCACAGATCACTTTCTTAGTTTAGATTTTGGTTAATATCCAACCTAGACAGCATATTAAAAAGCAGAGACATTACTTTGCCAACAAAGGTCCGTCTAGTCAAGGCTATGGTTTTTCCAGTAGTCATGAATGGATGTGACAGTTGGACCATAAAGAAAGCTGAGTGCAGAAGATATGATACTTTTGAACTGTGGTGTTGGAGAAGACTCTTGGACTGCAAGGAGGTCCAACCAGTCCATCCTAANAATCCCATGGACGGAGGAGCCTGGTGGGCTGCAGTCCATGGGGTCGCTAAGAGTTGGACACGACTGAGCGACTTCACTTTCACTTTTCACTTTCATGCATTGGAGAAGGAAATGGCAACCCACTCCAGTGTTCTTGCCTGGAGAATTCCAGGGACGGGGGAGCCTGGTGGGCTGCCATCTATGGGGTCGCACAGAGTCAGACAAGACTGAAGTGACTCAGCAGCAGCAGCCTTCCTGCCTGTTACCCTCTCACTGGCGTCCCTCTTTTCTGAATGGAAAAGAGTTTTTTCTTTTCTTTTCTTGTCCTCCTGTGGGATCTTAGTTCCCAGACCAGAGAGAAACCCATGCGCCCTGCAATGGAAGCTCAGACATAACCACTGGACTGCCAGGGAAGTTCCTGGATGGATTAGAATTCAAAATAGCAACAGTGGGAGGCTCATGATCATGTAGGCCATTTTCTGAGAGTAAATGAGTTCTTTTTCTTTGTTATCATTTGTATCAAATTTATGAAAAGTAAACATTTTGTTTTATTACTGTTGAAGTTTAAAAGATGACAGTGATGCATTTTGGTCTTGATGGCAGCGCTGTTTTCTAGAAGGTCCTCGTTCCTCTTCTGTGCACAAGCATTATGCATATTACAAAATTCAGACAAGCTTTCCTTTGTGTTTTCAAGACCAGTTTTATAGGTGTCCTTTAGTCACTGCAGAGCAGAACAAAATTTCTAGTAACATTTTGTTTCAGTGATTTAAAAGAGAAGCATGGTGTCAGTGTTTCTTCTTTAAGACAATTAATTTCATATGCATAAAAGTGATCTTTGAATTAAGGTTCTTTGGGTAGTTTTTGCTGTTTTTTTCAGATTTTTAAAACTTGTTTTGCAAGTTTTCTAACACACATGCACTTTTTCTCCCGAGATTGAAGAATGAAAAGGCGTTGCGTCTCAGCCTCATTGGAAAGTGGATTTACTTGTTTGAAGTTCTTACCTTACTTATTTTCTCTTGACTCTCTTAGTGAAATACTGTTTTTATCTCTACCAGATAAAACTGATTTTGTCAGATTAAGTGATTTTTTTTCTACCAGACTTGATTAAAATAATGTCACTCATTAAACTGTTAGAACAGTGTTAATATCTTGCTCAGGTTTTTAGAAATTGTTTAGTATCTACCTTTATCCATCCCTCTCTCTCTCTCCAGTTTAATGCTAGCTTCCTAACGATTAGAATTATGAAGGGTTTTGGAAACAGGAATTCATGTTTAATGATGTGAATATATCCTCAGTCTATATCTCAGTGTCACAGTCCTTTTATGTGTGTGTGTGGGTGTGTGATCAGATTTATTATTGGTAAGGTTATCTGATAAGTCTGAGATTTCAAAAGAGTAGCTACTAGGCTTTATAACTAAAATGAAAGATATTCAAACCATTCACTCTACTGCCTTATCAGACAGCAGAATCGTATTTGTAAATGGTTTATCAGTAATCCTGGGTAGGGCCATTTCTTGATTTATAATACTGAGAAATCTTACTGAAAGTGGCACCGCTATGGTCAGATCGACTCATAAGCACGAAGTCTGCTAGCTCTTTGATAGTACATGTCAGTTATTCTGCATAGTATACGGCAGATTTTGTATGCTTAGTGTATTTACTGACTTTGAGGCCCTGAACAGGTTACTTAACCTTTCTCTTCTAAATGGAGGTAATAATAATAATTCTCATAGGATTGTAAAAGTCAAGACCTGTGCCTGGACATAGTGCCTGCTGCTCTTTGAAAGTTTAGCACAAGCCATGCTCTTCATTAACCTAATCAAACTCTCCTTTTGTTATTTCAGACAAGTTCTATCCTTCGCTTTATAAATACTTGGAACTTCATGTTCTTTTAGTGTATTCTTTCTTTTAAAAAATGTTTTGTATCCTTACTGGATAAGAAATACGTACAGAAAAGCATCCTTCCTACCTTTGTCTCTTCCCCAAATTCAAATGTGACAGTTCAGTTTCTGACAGGCTGGTTTAGTTAGCTTTGAGCCCACACAAAACTTTATATTTCACTTTGAAATAAATGTTGATACTGTTTTAAACACATTGATGTTGAAAATTATAATGAATACCTCTGCTTAAATGATGACTTATGGTGTTAAACTGTTTTGGTACTTGTTGTTATAGGTGAAAAACTGCAGTGGTTTCAAAATCACCTTGATCCCAAAAAAGTAGGATATTCAAAAAGAGATGCTTGTGAATTAATTGAAAGGTAAACGCTGGGCACGTTAATGAGCAAAGGGTCAGTAAGAAGAATTCCCCAACTTGGTTCTGCAAGATGCAGAGTTCTGTTCTGGATTTATAGACAAGCAGATAGACTTTGTTATAAAGACTTTGGATTTGTATACTAGCTTAGTCATTTTAGTAGGCTCATCACCTTTCTGAGCCTCAGAATGGCAGCTAACCCAGTTTGTTGACTTCCTTGAGAAATGACATCAGAACTCACATCTGAAGATGGAGGTTAGCAGATGGAGGTGAGGTAGTTTGAAGAGTGTCTAGGCAGAGAGAACAAGATCTGAAAGACCTGGGGATGGGAGCAGCATATTTAGTGATCTGCCAGGCATTTACTATCACTGAGATAATAGGTTCTGGGAGGGAATTGTGACAGTTTGAATAAACAACCAACACATAAAGATCTCAGATATCATTGTAAGAGTTTGAACTTTACCCAAGGACAGTGGGAGTCATAGGAGACTTTGAATAGCAAGTAGCTGTGATGCTCACATTTAAACCTTTGAGAGTGAGGAAAGTGGATGAGGGGGCAGACTATTCAGAGGCTGATGCAAGAGTTGGTGGTGGGAGCAGTGTGGTAAAGAGAAATGGAAATGTCTAGCGAGTTCAAGGGGGGGTAAAAGGCTCCATCTTCAGTGAAGACTTAAATGTGGCATAAAGGGGAGAGAGAGGAGTCAGGGTGATCCAGTCTTCATCTGCGTGAATGAGGGCGGGGGCCAGGGCAGAGGTGGAGCAGGTTCGGAGGGGACCAGGGGCAGGGCAGAGGGCGCGTTAAGATGTCACCTGTTAAGCCAGATGGAGACATCCAGGAGGTAGTGGAGTGTGAGGACCTGGAGTGTAATAGACATTGTAATGCAGGCTTTGATTTGTTCACAGAAGTTTTGAAAGTGGTTGAGTTATCAAGAGAAAGTCTGAGGTCTGAGAACTTGAAGGAGTCTAGAGGAAAATGAAAACTTGAGAAGGACAGGCAGTGGCTGGGGATTATGTTTTAAATGAAGTAATATACGCCAAACAGACATTGTAAGTCAGACCATCTTGTTTTTCAGGTATTTGAATCGATTCAGCAGCGAGCTGGAGCAGACTGAGTTGTGGAACAGCTTTGAGGACAGGCAGGGCCGGAGGCACTGCTCTCGGGAGGCGGCCATCAGGCAGACCCTGGAGCGGGAGCGGCGGCAGTACCAGGCCCACGGCCTCGGTGAGTCCCGTGCTGCTTCCTGCTGTCTTGTCACTGTAACTTGTCCTGTTTATTTAGTTTACTTCGATTTTCCTTTTCTTTCTTTTTGACTATTTGGAATTTTTTAATTCTTTCTTTTTTTCTCCTACATTCCCAAAACTGTCAATTTTGACAGTGATATTTTTCTACTATGATAGTAATGTTTTCCTCTCCCTTCAGGCATGTGCTTAACCTGCTCTGGTCTAGGGTTATTCCTTGCCTGTCTCCAGTCACATTAAAGAGCTATACTTGTTGCAGCCATTCTTGAGAAATTACAGAAATCAAATTTTCTTTCTTAGCAGTGTAGCATTTCTTGCAGTTCCTGAAGACACGTGTGTGTCTGTCTAGCAGCGCTGTCTGAAGAAGAGTGCGCAGGAGGAGAGGAGCGGGCGCTTGCAGGGCTCGCAAAGCCCACCAGCAGCGGACAACCCAAAGGCTGCTCACGGCCTGCAAGCAGCGTTCGATTGGTGTAGGAATTGTCAGTATAGAAAGATCTGCTGAGTTCACATGGAAAATGTAGATTTCTGGATGCCCGTTAAACATATGGTCTGACAGCATTGTCTGCTAGAGCAGAACAGCAGCCATCACTTTTAGACTTAGCATTCCGTGGTCCTGGACCTTCCTTCATTTGCGTTCCCTGCCTGGTCCCTGTAGGCACTCATGTGTGGATTGGCTTGGAGAGTACAGTAAATGAAATGTTTAATAGGAAAATAAGGTTTTTTTAGCTTTAATAACAGTAGGAGCCTGAAGGTGTTATCCTGCTGACTCCTGCTGTGTAGGTCCCAGCCCTGGCAATAGCTACACTTGATCCAGGAAAACCTGGGGTGGCCCCCACAGGCATTCTCCCCTCAGGCCAAACCTCCCTGGTGGTTTCTTACTATGACTGCAGGGTGCACTTCAGCAACACCCAGCAGGGAGCTTTGAAAAACAAAATTTAGCGCTTGCAGGTCCTGGAGGTACCCTGAGGGGCACACGGTGAGGGCTCCAGTAGAGAAAGAGGGGGCAAGCAGGGGCCGGGGGTCCTGCCATTGTAAGGGTCATAGGTGGAGTGCCCAGGGTTTCAGGGGCTCCCTCTTTATGAAGATGCCAGAAAGGAGAATGGGTTCCCTCCAGTGATCAGTTAACCTGGGGTGTTCTGATTGGGTGGGGCAGTTGTTTTCTGCAGCTGTGTCAGAAGCTGGCAGTGGGTTTATTGAGTTGGGTGTCTTCGCAGTCAGAAGGTTCACTTCAGGCACTTATACCTTCAGTAACACTAGGAACCCTGAGTAGATGGCGGTTCCTCTTCAGCATTCCTAAGAAATGAGTTTTTTTACTGGAAAAAAAAAAGAGGAAAAAAAAAAACAAAACAGAATAGCTTTAGAACAGGTTAGATCTGTACTGAGACCCTTGCAGCTTACTGTATAACAGGACAAGTTACTTCTTACCCACTCCCCAGCCTTGTTACCTTCCATTTAAAAATAGAGATGGATCGTACACCTCCCCTTCCCAGGTCGTTTAAAAGTTAGAGATTGCATGTGACATGTAGGAATTGAGGGAAAGCTTCAGCCACTCCTGTGTCCTTTCACTTAAATTTGTCTGTGCTTATAGTCTCCATTTCTTCATCTTCCATTTTCTTTGGAAGCCCTTAAATTAGGCTTTTGTAGCCACCACTCAAAGTCCTCATCGCTGATGAACTGTTTAAGTTCCTAAGACAGGTTGTAGCTCTACTGGGTACCGACTCTCACAGTCAACTTCTGTGCATCCTTTGCTACAGATGATCCCTTCGTTTTTTGTCACACTTTTTATTTGGGGTAGTAGCCGCTGTCCTTCCCCGGTTTTTCTCCTAGTTCACTGGCCATAATGTCAGTTTCCTAAGTTAACTCCTTCTCGTAGCCTCACAAGCTAAATAATTGGCCCAGATGTGTGTCCTTGGGCCTCTTGTCTTTCCAGTTTATACCAGGTCCTGCATTTATCTCATTTAATCCTGTGCTTTTAAGTACCATCTAAATGTCATGACTTCCAAATTTATGTTGTCAATCCTAACTTGTCCCTAGAACTCCAGACTCAAACTTGAGTTTCTTAAAATCTCTGCTTGAATGTCTTCTAGACAGCTCCAGTTTGGCATGTCCCAAAGCAAAGCCCAGCTTTTCTCCTAAAACTGGCTCCTTCTGTGCAGTCCGTGTTTCGGTCAGGGACATCACTACTCGCCCACCATCCTGCAGACATTTCAGGCCCCACGTCCGGCTCATCAGCCGGATGCACTTGGCGTCTGAGGGCTTGCGCTGCCGCTCCGCTGCCCGCGCTCGAGCCGCCCGGATCTCAGCTCTGCCCTCGCGCTGGCCTCCCCAGGCGGCTCTGTGCTCAGTTTCGACCTGAAGCCGCCAGGCTGAGCAGCAGTCACGGACAGCACATCCCAGGTCAGGCATCCTACTGGTGGTGAAGCCAGTGCTAAATCTCAGACTTAGTGTTCTGGTTACGCCTCAGCCCAGGGAATGTGGTGACACAAGTCTACAGGCGTCTAGAAACATGGGCAAATACTCAGAGATGCTGTCAGTGAGATTCAGTGAAGACTACGTACTAACATCTCTCCGTCTTGCCCCTGTTTGGTATAGCCATTCCTCACTCACATTCTTATTTTCTGAAGCTGTTGTAAAGGTCAAACATTTTTGTTGCAGATTCATTTCATTTTATAGATTCTATTTTAGAATACATTATTTAATAGTGTTGGTTTTTTTTTAATCACCTTCTTATTAAAATAAGTCCTTTATACTTTTGAAACTTCTTTTCATTGTAGCTTTGTAATCATGCTTTGAAAGTTTGTTTTGCTTTGGGCATTCTTCTGTCTGTCAGTTATTTCTTTTTCTTCCTGAGATAGTAAAGGAAGAAACTATAAATACTATAATAGAAGACTTTACCTAATGATTATATTTTCTTTTCCAGAGATTCCAGACATTTTAAATGCAGATAATCTGAAAACTTTTAGGTGAGTTTGTTGCAGTTTTTTCCCTTAAAGCTGCATTTGTAAAATACATGATAGATAAACTTTCTTCCCTTTTGAGTATTCAGGGGTTCTTTTTAACCTCTCTTTCATCAGATAAGTAAGAATTTTCCTAAGTTGCATTTGTTAGAAATGCCCGAAATGATAGTGTCCTAGTGCTTTTGTTTTACAAAATACTTCAAAATTCTTCAATATAGTATTTAAAAGAACATGATGTCACTGTTCCTCTCTGTTATGTAAAAAAAAAAAAAGAAAAAACTGTCAGCAGCAGACTTGATGACTCAGAGACCCATTCCCAGACTGTTTGCAGCACCTCCTTCTGGAGAAGTTGGTTGGTGTGAAGGGAATCATGAAGAACCAGGTGACCCAGTGATCTCTCTAATAGTACTCTGTGACCAGAAAGACCAGTGAGTAGGATTTCCAGTTTTTAGTTTTCAAACATAAATTATTTTTCTTTAGAACATAAGTTTTATTAATCACTTTGACCTTAGGTAGGTCATGGTGATCAGCCTGAAATTTTAACCGAAATTAGATAAATTAAGTCCATATTATTTAAAACCTTTAAGTTTATTTTATATTATTATACTTCTGAATTTGTAGAAAATATTTAATATTCATAAAATCTCAGCTCATAAAATTTACCAGTCGTATTTAAGAAGTGGTTCACTTTTTAACTCATTTACATGTAGTTATAATGTAAGTACATGCAGCTTAAGATTTTTTCAGATGTTAATGTTTTTGCCTGCAATATTAAGTAGTCAGATATATAAGTATTCCCTTTATTCAGTAAACCGGTATAGATTCTGCCTCCTCCAAAGAAAGCCAAAAATGAGAAGAAATTAGCATAGACTGTTAGTATTTTTATCTAGCTAGAGTTCAGTTCTCAAAACAGTCTTCATTTTGCTCCCAAAGTAAGTGAACATAGGATTGTCACAGAAATGCTGAGGTTGAAAAACTGGAAGTTTTCTGTTACAAGAATTGTTTGGTTGCTGAAACTTAATTGTGACTTACCATTGTGTGTGAAGAGAAAAACCTTTTCTGACTCTGCATTTTGGAGATTTTCCAGTGTGGTATAGTTCCTGCTTTTGAGATTTCTTGACACTGTATGTCCTGATAGAGGGAAGTGTTCAGGTTAAGAATCATAAAAGAAAGGAACAGCCTCCTTGTAACTTCTGCCTAATGTTTTCCTGCATTGTTTTGAAAATCTTGAATATGTGCAATTCCCTGGGCAGTTAACTGCTATTATAGGTTAATGGGGCTTCCCTGGTGGCTCAGATGGTAAAGAATCTGCTTGCAGTGCTGGAGACCTGGGTTCGATCCCTGGGTCAGGAAGATCCCCCCTGGAGAAGGGAACGGCAACCCGCTCCAGTATTCTTGCCTGGGAAATCCCATGGACAGAGGAGCTTAGCGGGCTACAGTCCATGGGGCCGCAAAGTGTCAGACGTGAGTGAGCAACTGTAACATACTATAGATAAGGGAGAGAGTACGGTAAGTGTGGAAAATGCAAACCTTACTTTTGGGGACATTTTTTTTCCTGGTGCATTTATATTGTTTCCGTCTAGCACATTTGAGTTTGCTGTAAATTTATAAACTTTTTTCTGCATAGTTTTGAATATTGACTTCATTCCCCACCTCACCAACTTTCTGCATTCTCTCTTTTGTCTAGGGAATGGGATTTTGATCTGAAGAAATTGCCAAACATTAAAATGAGAAAAGTCTGTGCTAGCGATGCGGTGCCCAAGAAGTGTAAGAAGAAAGCTGTGACAGCTGTAGACAGAGATTTAGGGGAATTGGAACTGAAAGATGAGTCAAGTGACACAGACGAGGAAATGACTGCGGTGGCCTAAGTGTCTTTGCTTGAGTGGAAAATAAATAATTTGAGAACTTCCAGGTTATACTTGAATTGATTATGGTAAATAATTGTCTCAACACACGAATTTGCTGTTTTACCTTACTCTTATATTTTCAGTTTCAAAAACAGTGTGGCAATTTTTACTTAAAAAGGAATGTTGCTTTTCATTTACATTAAGCATGTTTACTTAGAATCACCTTAGAATCACGTATCACATTTTGGGTCATAGGCAGTAGCTATTTTGCTAGAAGGTTAATGTGGGTACTTCTTGAGTAAGCAGTAATGACAGCAAAGCTGCCTTTCAGCAGTGTTTTTCACTGCTCTTCCTCTTACACATCAAACCTGTTTTCTTTCCTTAGAAAATAGGGAAAATGTGATACAGAATTTATATACGCTTATGGATTGTACATTGCTGTTATTTATTATCTTCGACCCAGAGTTAGGTAAGTGGTTAAAGAAGAATCACCAACATATTCTTCTGTGGATCTCCTGTTATCAACCTGTTATCTGGATAAAGGGGATAAATGATTTCAGGTTGGCTAGGTTTGTTTTTATATTATTTTTTACTTTCTCATTGTGAAAAGTATTAGATTTTATTTGTGGAAACAGAACTAAAGATTAGAGAACTAGTTATTTCAATTGTCTTAATTCTTCTTCTGAGAGATAGGTTAAACTGACATGTAACAGTGTTTCCAACATCATGAAAAACATGAATGTGGTAGAATGTTCTTAACAGAACTTGTTAAATGCAAGTTTCTTCTGGCCTGTTTCCTAAAGAGTGCAGTGAAAGTGCATTTTCAAGGGAAAAAAAAAATTCTGTATGAGGTAACCAGGTATCAACTGTCTTGTTAACAGCTTTTTTACTTCAGAAGATTAAAAATAAAACTTGTTTCTATAATTTTACTTAAGGTTCTTATTATTGAATGTTTAGTGATTTAACTAACGCTGACTTGCTTTGGCTTTAAGTCATGCACGCAGGAGCATGGTTTTATGGTTATATAGTAAGTTCTTATCTCTTTGGTCATTGGAAAATTTCCTTCTTGGGGGAAGGGAATTCATTTTTTGTTTCAAAACGACTATAAAAACTGAGTCATAAATTACAGTAAAGAGAATAAAAACTGCTTTATCCAGTCTGGTATTTTAAAAAGCATTACTGTTAGATGAATAACTTGTGAAAATGGCAGAACATTCTCCTCCAAGATTTATTTCTAGTTTTCCCTGTGCTATCAAAGCAGAAAATATAACAGGCTGTACTGCTTGGAACCAGAACAGATAAGTGCTTGTTGAATGAATTTAGGACTGTAATTGTCATGTCACTCCTGGCTAGACCAGAGTCACTTAAGAGATAGATCATTTGTCTTCAGAGTAACCCTCTTAAATGGTCCCCTTCCCCGTTGTCTATGGAACGTGTTCTCTCTGCAGTGATGCTTGTCCCACCCCTTCTCTGTCAGTAGGAAGCCTCTGAGAGAGAGCTCCTCTCGTCCGCAGCCCTGGAGCCAAGTGAGAGGAGCACTTGGTTGGCAGTTCTTTGTAAACTCCTGGGGGACAGATAATAAAATGGCAGATGGTAAATATTTTAGACATTGCAGGCCAAATGTAGTGTCTGTTGCGTATTCTTATATACGTATGTGTGTTTTACCACCCTTTAAAAATGTGAAACCCATCATGGCCATACCCAGATAGGCTATAGGCTAGGTTTGACCTGCTTGCCAGAGTTTGCCAATCCCTGGTCTAAATCAGCAAGCTGAAGTCCACGGACTTGGGCTTAGGATACATTTCTAAACTCAGCCACTCACTGCTATCTGTAGCCGCTATTCCTAATACCTAGCCACTTCCTTGCCTTGCAGGCATTGGTCTCTCTCTGGGACTCTGTTCACCTTAAATAGTGTTTTCTGCTCCTGTAATCCTTATGCTTCAGGACAGAAGATTCAATAGGTGTCCTCTTTGGCATGTTTATTTGATAGGGTGTGATTTTATTCTTTACCCCTTTTTTAAAAGATTTATTTTAAAAAAAATCTAGGTTCACGTTAAAATCAAGAGGAAAGTAAAGAGATTTCCCATATACTCCCTAGCCCCACATGCATAGCCTCCCGCTTATCAATATCCACCACCAGATGGTACACGTGCTATAACTGCTGAACCTACATTGACATCCAGCATGTTTGGAATGAAATTCACGTTCTGTACCACGGCCAGACTGAACAGCCACCATGGTCAGAGAGGCCTGAGGTGCTCTGATTGCTGACGTCCTCTCCACACGCCCCGGGCTGGCCTCGTTTCAGACACACTGTCTGCCTGTCCTGCCCCAGGGTGGTCAAGCCACGTCCCGGGTGGGGACAGCTGGGTGCTGGCCCCCTGAAGAGCGTGTGTGTCCTCTGAGGCCAGGCTGGGCCGCGGCGTTCCTGAGCCTCAGAAGAGTGCCCTGTGGTCTTCCTAGAGCAGGAAGACGCAGGGTGCTGTGGGGAGCGCCCAAGGAGCACTGCGTGTTTGCCTCCCTGTTTTCCGGGGGAATAAGTGGACAGCTCGCCACCGCTTGCAGGCTCTGATACAGGGTGAGGCTTCCCCCTCAGCCCGCTGTGCTGCGGGCTCTGACACACGGTGAGGCTTCCCCCTCAGCCCTCTGTGCTGCGGGCTCTGATACAGGGTGAGGCTTCCCCCTCAGCCCGCTGTGCTGCGGGCTCTGATACAGTGTGAGGCTTCCCCCTCAGCCCGCTGTGCTGCGGGCTCTGATACAGGGTGAGGCTTCCCCCTCAGCCCGGCGTGCTGCGGGCTCTGATACAGGGTGGGGCTTTCCCCTCAGCCCGCTGTGCTGCGGGCTCTGAAACAGGGTGAGGCTTCCCCTCAGCCCGCTGTGCTGCGGGCTCTGATACAGTGTGAGGCTTCCCCCTCAGCCCGGCGTGCTGCGGGCTCTGATACAGTGTGAGGCTTCCCCCTCAGCCCGCTGTGCTGCGGGCTCTGACACAGGGTGAGGCTTCCCCCTCAGCCCGCTGTGCTGCGGGCTCTGAAACAGGGTGAGGCTTCCCCTCAGCCCGCTGTGCTGCGGGCTCTGATACAGGGTGAGGCTTCCTCAACCCGCTGTGCTGCGGACTCTGATATCACAGTGTGGGGCTTCCCCCTCAGCCCGCTGTGCTGCGGGCTCTGACACAGGGTGAGGCTTCCCCCTCAGCCCGGCGTGCTGCGGGCTCTGATACAGGGTGAGGCTTCCCCTCAGCCCGCTGTGCTGCGGGCTCTGATACAGTGTGAGGCTTCCCCCTCAGCCCGCTGTGCTGCGGGCTCTGATACAGGGTGAGGCTTCCCCCTCAGCCCGCCGTGCTGCGGGCTCTGATACAGTGTGGGGCTTCCCCCTCAGCCCGCTGTGCTGCGGGCTCTGATACAGGGTGGGGCTTCCTCCTCAGCCCGCTGTGCTGCAGGCTGCGAAAGGGCCTCGCTGCACTGTGGTCCCGGCTGCTCAGCAGAAGGGCGCCCCCGCCTCGTGCAGCTTCACTGATCACGCGCCCGTTTCTTCCCGCGCCTTCCCTCTGTGGCAGGGCTCCCGAGGAGCTGGCGCCTCTCCCTCCTTCCTTGTGTGCCTCTGTAAGGAGTGAGCTGAGACTCCAGCGCAGACTGTTTCCCCCCTGGCTGGGTCTTGCTGATGGGCCTTGTTCAGGACTCTGCTTCCTGCCCTGTCACTTCCCTGGGTTAAAGAGTCTACCCCACCCTTGGTGTCTCTGTCACAGCTCCCGGGTTTGGTCACTGGCTAAACACACAGTGACAATGATCTATGATCTAGGTTTGTGTGTAGTAATTTGGGAGGCTGAGAAGACACATGCACATGTTCCGTTTGGACAGAAGAATGAACACATCCAATTAGACCCTGAATTCAGACTTCAAAGCTGGGGCTTCAGTTGGGGTGTTTTCTTCACTGATCACTAACCCACTTAGGTTTGAATTAGATTCCCTGTTTTAGTTTTTATTACCTCTGGGTAGGAAAATACTGTTACATTCTTTTGTATATCCAAGCCTTATTCATCAGAGAATCTTTTTCTGGATTGCATTCTGATTTTTCTTAATTTTTTTTTTCTTTAAAACAGAGTTTGAAAGTCTGTGTAGATTATTTTCATTGATTTTCCCTTGTTAATGGACCTATTTAATCCTTCCTGAAATGCCATGTGTTAATCAACCTATGTTGGCCTTAAAATATGTTCAGACCCTGCTTAAAAACCCAGAACATTGCAGAATCTTAAGAACTCAAGGCTGTTTGAATGTTGCAGATACAAATCTGAAGAAATTCAGGTAAGTTAGGCAAAAAATAAAGAAATCACAACAAAAGTTTGGGTCACTTATTTAATATACAAAGTCTTTTTTCACAGGGAATTATTTGTTTTCCTTAATTTGTCTTAGTACACATAATTCACAAAACAGTAAATTGTTAATGCAAGAGAATTAGGAAAAACCAAAAAAGTACAAATGCTCAATCCCCAAAATTGCACACAGTTAAAATTTTTCTTTTGTCTTAATGCAGTGTCAAATGGGCTTTCTTCAGATGTGGAGGAAACACTGCAGCCCAAAATAACAGTACTTCCTCTCAACTGTATTGATATGTAAAATAGCACCTTTGGGCTGCCGTAAAAGGGAAGAAAATTGGTTTCCATCTTTGTTAATTAAAGTGTAAGTCCTACACAATTATATGACAACTACAATAATGACAATGTTAAGTTTGGAGAGCTCTACTTTGTTCCAAAATACTAACTGCCATGAAAGGAAAGGAGAACTGTGTCAGGCAAATGAAACACTCTTCCCACCTCACCTCCATGACAACGAGAATGCGTCAGTGAGGCCATTGCTCTGATGGGCTAGTTTCCACCTCACCTCTGTGACAGAATGTGTTAGTGACGCCATTGCTCCAATGGGCTGGTTTTCCAGCCAAACTATACAGATGGTTCAGGGACCTTGTGCAAAACAGATTAACTATGCAGCTATCTCTCTGGGACTAGAATCACATGAGCAGCAGCTCAGAATGAGATTTAATCCGGTGGCATTTGAAAGACTCCTTTTCTGTATGCACCTGTCTTCCTTCAGTTTCTCCATTGTTTTATATCCCAAGCTGATGGTAACATTTTTGTTTCATTTGTACTTAAGCTTGATTGCCTTTTTGGCTTCACTTTAAAAAAAAAAATGAATTTCATTTCTTTACAACTTAATATTTGAGCTTATACAATAAAAGTGACAGTTCTTTAAAAAAATTAACAGCACAACTGGTAATACCACAGAGTTGTGATTATAAAAAGCCAAGGTTTTAGTAGAATTATAAATTTATTTTTCAATTTAAGTCCTTTGTTTCAATTCCATTTTATTTCTTAAATAAGCAGGTAAACACGCTTTAAAAAATTGAAGAGCATTCCAGAGAGCAGTTTTTCTTTTTGAAGGGTATATCCAGTCCACGAAAGTATTTTCACAAAGCCACACCCAGTCATTGAAAGGTCAGAAACCATTGCCACACAATATAAAAGAAAACAATCAACACTAGGTTTTCAATACACATAGTTATTTCAGTTGTTTGAAGCTTCAACAGCCATTATGGGAAAACTTTTTAACGATTTAAATTCAAGAGTTCAGGTTTTAAAAAAGAATAGCAGAATAATGCTGACTTTTAACCCATTAGAGAGCTCTATATTTTCTCAGTTCAAGAAAGACAAAGCCTATTTAAGTTAATTTTGAGAATTTATGTGTGGTTTTAAAACACCATGTCCTCTTTTATCATTAATACAGTAAAGATTATCTTTATTTTTCATTCTAGTGTTCAGTGAGCCCCTTAATAAACCAGGCCTTATGTTAGCCAATCATCTTCCACTGTAAAATGAGCCATATAGTTACCTGTCTTTCTGGAGTTTGGACAGAATTGAAATGGTGTTTTTGGTGTAAATAATCCTTTTTCTTACAGAGCAGACAACAGAGTGATCAACGGTTCTTTGCTGGTGATGATTTTGTTCCCTCAGGAACTTGTGGAAGTGTTAGTGTTGCCATTGCTAAACCTCAGGAGACATGGATTAGTAAACTGCTTAGGAAAGTTATCAGAAGAAATGAATCACGTTTAGTCCCTTGGGTGAAGTGCCATGGTTAAGTCACCCAAAGCTTCATTATCCGTGAATGTATGTGTCTTAAACCTTGAAGATGGAAATTAAGAAGTTAATACAAAGTCCAGTGTAAGGTTCATATATTTTAATTGTGCAGAAATTTTGGTCCAGTTTAGTTGCCTCAAGTGTTTTTTTTTTTCCCTGTGCCTTCATTCAACAAACTTTAAGAAAGATGAGCTTTAAAAAACCTCTTGTTTGCTGCCTGACTGAACACTTTGACGTTTTTCTCATGTATATACAGGAACACACACACCTCACAGGCACACAAAGTTGACGCTGTTGACCTTTGCTCTATTTCTAAGAACTGGGACTATCTGGACTCAGTGTCAGCCACTACTAGTATCATAGCATCCTTCTCAGTAAAAGGTTCTCTCTTTCCTTTTTCTATGGTAACCTGTAAGGAACAAGCACACTGACAATGACAAAGTACATCAATGATGTGATACCCAGATTTGTGCAGTGCGAAACCCATGCTTTGGTTCTATGGCCATCATGGTTGCCTTTTCACAATAATAAATAACAACAGCTAGCAAAAATAAATCACCTTGTTTTATGTAAGACATCTCTCTTTGACAGACCACTATATTTATAATCATTAGTCTAGCTCACTGCAGTATTATTCACGCTTCAGGTTCACATGAATATGCAAAGAATACAATAATCAACTCATCTGTCAAACCTAAACAACTCAATTTATTACTTATCACAGAATCTTGAAAGTTTTTTGCTTCCCAGTTGAGCAAGGGAAATAATTGTCAGCTCTTTAAAATACAGTCTAAATGCTTGGTCATAACTACTCACTACTCATCTGTCAAGTTGACACCTTATGTAGATTTTTAAAAGTACATTTGACTTAAAAAATTATTTTTTATTTCCCCTATGATAAGTGCTTCATAGTAGCAAATAAGTTAATTTTGAAACTTAGGCAGATTGCTTTATAGTTTTGTTTTTTTACTCTTTAAAAAATAGTAACTTTGTCTAACTTATTAAGATACTTCATTTGATTAGTGCTTTGTAAAATAACATTTGTGATACTTTGAAAAAAAGAATGAAGTGCTGTTTTGAAAGATTCAACTGTTAAAACAGGTTTTGTGTCTAATTTTAGGGCTGCTGTATCCAATACAGTGGATTTGAATTGAGATTCCCTGTAAGGATGAAATGCATACTGGATTTTGAAGACTTGGTTCATAAAAGGAGATGTAAAATAACTCAATAATTTTTTATCATGATGACATTGAAATGATAATGGGTATATAATGCTAAATAAAACACTGTCGAAATTCACCTGTTTATTTTTACTTTTTCTAATGGTGCTACTAGAAAATTTTAAATTTGCGTATGTAAGCCAGCCTTTGGGCTCACATTACATTTCTGTTTGACAGTGCTGTTTCAGAGGGTCCAAATGGAGTATACAAGGCTTCTGGGTATTTAACAGAACTAATTAAATCCCAAAATCTTTCAAAATCTACTCTTCATGATTTAAACATAATTCCAAGTATTAATATCTTCAAACGTGTCTTGCATTTATTTTAAAAACATGCACCGGTCAAAACAAACTGGACTCCACTATAGCCATAAAAACCTGTTAGCTGTCAAAGTATGAATATCAAAATATGCATCTTCCAAGTTTGCGTCTAATGTGCCTTAGGGATAATGCAGACAATTTCAAGCTTAAACCCAAATACCTTTGTCATTTCCAGATGAGAGAGTTAGCATCATGAGGCCCTAGAAGAAACACATGCTCAACTCAAGTCCTTCCTCTGGAACTTTCCCCGGTACTGTGAGGACTCACAGGTCTGTCCACTCAGGCTTTCCTCATTGCCTAAAAGCATCCCTTGCTCCGGTGGTGAATTGTCTCAGAGATCATTTTCCAGCTAACTTCTACATTTCCTCTTTACACTTGAGACTGTTTCATGGGATCCTGGTCATTTGGTGTTTTCTTCTTTCCTTTTGAGCAAAGTAAGAACAAATGGGTCAGAAAGCGGAGAGAAGATAGAGGGCAACTATTGAGGGTCGCTCCTGTCGTCTGTAGTGACAGGCGGGACTCTGCTCTGGGTGACAGACCCCCGCTGGCCCCGTCACACGGGAACGAGCTCGGTGGGCCCGGCCTCCGCGGGTGGCCATGCCGTGGTCCCCGTCGGCAACGCGGGCGGCGCCCCAGCGTCCTTGGTGCCCACGCTCACAGTGCAAGAGCGGTTCTCCTCCGCCCTCTTGGCTGTGTCCGGGCAGTTCTGCACAAAGATCACGCGGTCGTAGGCCTTCAGCCTGCGCCATAGCTGCCGTAGACCTTGCACTGGGCGTACATGAAGACCAGACCTCCAGTGAAGACGATGGCCACCACAGCCAGCTTTGTCCAAAACGGCCATTCGAGGACACCTTTCAAATAAAAGAGAGCGTTATCACCGAGTCTTTATTGATAGATAGGTGATTTCCCCCTATGGTTCCTTCAAAGGACCATGCATGCTGTTGTTTAGTTGCTAAGTTGTGTCTGACTCTTTTTGTGACCTCATGGACTATAGCCCACCAGGCTCTTCTATCCATGGGATTTCCCAGGCAATACTAGAGTTGGCTGCCATTTCCTTCTCCAGGGGATCTTCCCAACCCAGGGATCGAACCCGTGTCTCCTACATTGCTGGTGGATTCCTTACCACTGAGCCTCTGGGAAGCCCTTAAAGGATTATGCCCACTTGTTAACATAACTCAGGAATATATTGTTAACAACTAGCAATAATTACAACCAAAATTGCTTAATTGCTTTAGGTATTCTCAAAGTACTGCTAAAATTGTACATGACTCCTCTCACCTGCCACTGTACTGTCTCATTCCTCTTACCAGCAAGCACCACTGTGATCATCAGATACTACACTATATTTTGATACTTGACTTCAGCATTTATTGCTTACAGTGAAATCTTTAAGGAAGGATAGCGTACATACTGAGTGAAAGAATCAGACTTAATCCTCTTAAGGTAACAGAAGCTATGTGTGTGGGGTTGTACCTACAGGTCCCCACCCCCACCTGCATTACCTTTATTTATTTTTTTTTCCATTTATTTTTATTAGTTGGAGGCTAATTACTTTACATCATTACAGTAGTTTTTGTCATACATTGAAATGAATTAGCCATGGATTTATATGTATTACCCATCCCAGTCCCCCCTCCCACCTCCCTCTCCACCCGATCCCTCTGGGTCTTGCCCGAGCACTTGTCTCATGCACCCAACCTGGGCTGGTGATCTGTTTCACCCTAGATAATATACATGTTTCAATGCTGTTCTCTTGAAACATCCCACCCTCGCCTTCTCCCAGAGTCCACAAGTCTGTTCTATACATCTGCATTACCTTTAAATTTAAAAAAAAAGGTGAGAGACACAGAAGCTGCTACATCTCACCAGAGAGAAAACAATTCCTGGGTACAGACATGCATAAGATTTAGGGTTTCAGTCACTTGTTTTATCCATCTTAGATTTTGTAACTGAGAACCATCTCTTTTTTACGGATCAATGTTTTCTCTTAATTTCCATCATTATAACTAGAAAGGGACTTTATTTCACGAAGAGTTTGCTGTAACAGTATTTAGGCCATGCATGATTATAAGTGTGTAACAAATGATGGCCAAGAGACCACATCTTGCCAACGTTAGAATGCTGTGGAGGATATACCTGCCTCAGTCATGTGAGAGGCTGTCAAATAGAAGGGTGGTTGGAAACCACAGTATAGGTGAGTTGAATTTCATTTACTGACAACAGTGAGTAGAGTTACACATCCTGCTGATAACACTGACATTTACTTTGCTCTGACAGCAAAACAGACACTGCTTTGCTTGCCTCGCACGGAGGGTTCGCCTTGCTCTTCACTCGTGTCTGTGCAAGGAGAACAGACTGGAGTCAGTGAACTTGGCACCAGCAGCTCCCCGCTGGGCAGGGGAGGGTGTAACTGTGTTCCCTGGGCCACCGGGCAGTGTCGAGATGATTGTTCCACCTGGTAACACTTGGGCAGGTGCTACTGACTTAGCAAGCCGAGGTCTGGAATGCTGCTCTGTCAACATCCCGCAGTGTGTAGGACAGCAAGTAGTTTGCCTAGTCCAGAAGGCCAGTGCTGCTGAGGTTGAGAAGCCCTGTTGCAGAAGACGACCACTTAAGCTTCTTTATTTAGAAATTTGCAGGGAAGTTTCAGTATACAAATTAAACATCTTGGGGTTCTTTAGATTTAGAAGGATTTTTGCTCTCAGCTGTTCCATTGAGCAGTAATCTCCTTGTTTCGAAAAATTTTAACCACAGGCAAGCCAAGCAGGAGATGAAGTGTGCTTTGTCTCATTTTTTGGGAAATCCCCATGCATGACATCTCACTTTCCCTCTGATTTCTATTCACACCGAAAGTTAAAAGTGCCTGGATAATTTCTCTTCTGAGCCTCTGCCCATGATATTTCCTCTCTCAGGATTTTGCTTCTCCATTTCCGTGTGTTTACCTGTGCCACAAACCTGAGTGGGAAATCATTTCCACCCGGAAATAGATGTACTCACCCTTTCACGTTATTTCTTACACATGTGGCCTGAGTCACTCTGACACGAGTTATTCTCTGCGATGCCATCATCCTGACAAGTGCAAGATCTGCATCTTCTTGGTCTGTGTTTTTCACACTTCCTTGCTCAGTAGACATTTCAAGGATGAATGAACATTCTAATGATCAAAGTTCTGACTTTGACTGCTGTGCCTCCATCTTTTCAATATAACCAGATGTGACAGCCTTTCTTCCCTTGCAAGTGAAGCTCCACTATTGATGGACAGGCTGAAGAAGACTCCTTTCTTGCCCCACCTCTCCTCCCAGACCCAGTGGCCAGAGTCCATGACATGCGTAAGAGTCGGGGTCAGGAGTAGTCAGCTGCCAGACCTTGGAGACCCTGGCCCGGGTACTTTTCTTTCACAAGGTATCTCTGAATTCATTTTCTCTGCTCAGGTCATTCTTCCTTTCACTTTCCTGGGGAGTCAGAGCTCCCGTGGTTTCTCTGGACAAAGTTTGGAGCACAGAGGTCCCCCCCACCCCAGAGTCAAAGCCGTCTGCGTGCAGAGTCACTGCTCAGACGACCGTCTTCTCTCAGGGACAGCCGGTTCCTCTCCCTGTGACTGACCGGGCAGGACTTTCATTTCCTTTAGAGAGTATTAATATTATTGAGCAGTTACAGGATTTTACTTTGGAAAACATGATAAGGATATCTTAAAAGAAGATGCCAAAATGTGGCTAAATGGATTGTCAATGTTGTTTTCATTGGTGAGATGCATTTGCTTCTTTTTATTGAGAGATAGCATGTTATCTTCCCATTCAGTTGTGTTGGACTAGTCAGTTCTATGTTGTTTTCCGTGAAGAGGAAAGAATGTACACAGTAAGGAAGGGTGGAGGTGAAGAAGGGAAGCTCTTCTTTGTGTAACCCAAAGAATTCTTTGAAGCTGGAGCATGTACTCAAAATTGCCAAGAGCACAAAGTTGACCCTACTTGCCAGTTCAGAAGAGGAACTTGGAAAATCCAACTTCAGACAATTCAACCATCTCTTCTTTTCTCTGAAGTCCAAGGATTTATTATTTACCTCTACTTCTGCCTTTGTGCTTGAGATCTTTCTTCAGGAGTTTCTGAAGACTTAGAAATCAACTCTCTGCCCATCTTGACCTCTTAAGTATTGATAAGAGATGATGCCTGGAAATTCTTGAGCAAAGATTGGAGGAGCAGATATTCTGTGAACCATCATTTTCTAAGGAAATGGGACTCTTCTATTGCCCTTCAGATACCTTCAATCAGTTCATTCACTTTTCATATCATCATGTCAATCCTACAAGAATGGGCAATAAATTTTCAAGTCATATCAATAAACAGTTGTCAAAATAACTTCTTCCACCATTTTGATGATTGCGTATATGTGATACGATACCTGAAGGCTGCAACAACATCCACACCATCACAAAACAATAGACATGCCAATAGGTTTTCCAGGAAAGGCTTTAGATTTGTCCTGTGATATGGCATTGAAGACTTCACCAATTAGACTTAGATGAATCAAAATGCTGCATTCCATCTGCCTGAAAGTGCAGTGCTACCAGAACCACAGAAATCGGTACACAATTTTGTAAAGAAACTGGTATTTGAAGAGCGAGTGAAAGCACTTCAGACACAGAAAAGTACATTGACCACTCAGCTCACCATACGCTCTGTGTCTAAGGTGAGATTTTTCTAGCCAGCCCGAGAGGGAAACTAGGAAGTCCAGGTGGACGTAACTGTATTTAAAGACCTTGAATGAAGGAGTAAACATGATGGGAGAGTAAAATCTGTACGGGTTTTTTTTTTTTTTTGGCATAAAAAAATTGCCCAGATCTTCCTCACTGCATCTCACATTGAGGCAGGATTAGAAGACAGTTTGGGTTGAAGGGTATTTACCCTCAGGAACCTGAGACTAGAGTTTTCCACCAACAGGATCACTGCCTCCAACTTTACAGTCACTGTTTCCTTATTTTCACTCTCAGAAGCCTCTCTTTTCCTGCCTAGGAAACAGCCAGATTCCAAATGACTTAGACTCATATCCAATTTCTTCACAAATCAGACCTTATTAAGATTTCCTTTCTTATGGTTAATGGCTTCACAAGGGGTATTTCCAAGAATGAAGGGATTTTGCACAGGGAAATAGCCCATTTTACATATTTACAGTCTTCTCCTTAACTAGTTTTAATGGTAATATTGACTGTGAGTAAACATGGATGATACATGTGCAGTATTTGTATAAACACTTTGTTTCAATTTATCTGATGCAAGGTCAAGCTCATTATGCTTTTGAGAAACCAATCCTAGAAAGAAATTTCGGAGGATGATCAGTCCGACTTAGTCAACCAATGAGAAAAAGGAAGCTTTGGAGTGATTATTTTATTCAAGATGACTACTCCATGACCAAGGCACAACTAGACATGTGGTGGGCCTCTTCCAATCATTAGCCCAAGTTGGCGTTTACCACTTTGAGGTCATTAACAAAACAGCATGTATAGTTATGTTAAAAAGAAATGTTTAAACAACAGTGCTGAAAAGGAAAATATTATATGGATGGCAGGGAAGTGATTTTTAAGATGCTCTCAAAGCAGATGTTAGCAGCCAGCAGGGAGGAACAGTCCAACCCTGGATGTGCTTGGAGGCTTGTGAGGGAGTCAGATGTGAACAAAACCAATTTGCTATACTGGTCCCTCATTTCTATGCGTTTACATGGTCCTCGGGCAGCCTTAACTCTGCACCTACAGCCTCTTTCATAGATAGCATGAATTGCTTCATTTTCTTGGCCTTATTTTTGTGATTTGTTTCCAGCACACAGATAGTACCCTGGAGCATTCTTCTAGAATATGTAAAGATAAGGCAGGGGGAGTAATTGTTCCCCCAAATTAGAGTTGACAACATGGATAATTTAGGATGTTAAAGTTTCAAGTACCATGTATTTTTTATTTTGCTTTTTTCATCACACGAAATAGAAGAGAGGAATCTGGGGCATGATGCATATTTAAGCTAAAAGGACAGTCACTCAACATGCAAAGGACTTTTTCCTGACAGTCTTGTTATTACAGCTCAGAAGATGTTGCTATTTTATATTCAACTTCCATTCTGGTTAAAGAAGGGCAATTTGTTCCTCTTCAAAGATTTTTGAAGGTTTTCAAGATGGATTTTAAATATTTTGACTTTTAAATTATGCAGTTTTCCCCCCAAAACTTTAAAAGCCAGTTCAGGATCAGTTCTCACAGTTCCAGTGCCAAAGGAAGATTAGTAACAACTCACAAGGATGCCTACACTACCTGATAATGTGCACTTTGGGAAGTCAGGCATTACATACAATTTGAACACAAATACAGAGAACCTTTTACAAAAAAAAAAAAAAGTTTTACAAAAATCACCTCTGTCCCACTCAAAATTACCCAAGTCAGAAGCTGTCCCTCTAGCCAGTGACTCTGTAGGAATAACTACAGAGTCTGCTTCATATAAAGATCTTGCTTCCTAATTCAAAAAGTCTGAACACCAAAGATAAAAGCTATCTCATTTTTACTTGCTTTTAAGAAACTGAAAATAATGTTTAAAAGTATATGGTAGAAAACTGGCCTTATATAACATGTGCATAAATATTGATAGATAGATACAGGTATTGGAAATCTGATCTTTGATTACCATGCAGCATTTTCTGTTAGGAAATATGGCTGATAACCCTGGGTGATAGTCCACTGGAGACTGTGGTTTGAAATTCTGCATCTACCCAGAACTGAGAAAGGGAAAAAATATTTTGCAGAAAATGTCTAAAGAAAAGAAAAAACTAGAAAAGCTTGCATACAAAGAACTCACTCTCCTACATTGACTGGGTCCCTTGCTGGCTTCCAGGTACAAGCACTCAGCACCTAGGATGTGCTGGTGAACAAGAGAGACACACCTGACCCATCAAAACTCAGACAACCAAATGAGCAATCACAACAGGGTGTGGCAAGTCTCCTGGCGGGGCAGAGCTTCTCAGCCTGACTGCACAGGAGGTTCGTGTAAGGGCTAATTACACGTAAACCCCTGGGAACACAGCTCGACGCTTTGTGGTGGTGCAGACGCTGCACAGTGATGCGATGGGCCACGCTGGGGGTGGGACAGGATGCGCAGGAGCACGTGTGCCCAGTGCCCAGACAGTGTCGGCTGCACCCGCCATGTGGGGCTCCACCCTCAGAACCTCTGAGTCTCAGGTCCAGGGCGGAGAGAGGCAGGAATCTGCCTTTCTAGCAAGCACTCCTGACATTCGTGCTGTAGGCCTGGGGACCACATTTGAGAGTTGCTGCAGTAGTAGCAGTTATTCTATCTCAGGGAGCTGATCTGGGTTTCTGGGAAGCAGTGAAATTTAAGGTCAACTTAAGGGACAAGGAAGTGTGTGATGACACATGAGCATGAGAGTTGGTGTGCAGGGTGGACACGAAAAGCTGGCAGGAAATATGTCCCCGGGACAGAGAAGTGGAACAGGGTCTGGAAGCAGGTCTGGGGGCTGAACCAGTGTTCAGCATAACTGGGTTTGGCAGGGCCATGGGGTCAGCATAAGCTCCTTCCCAGAGTCCAGGGTATATTTTTTAAGAGTCATGAATAAGCAGGGACAGAATGTGGTCAGATTTATGTTTTGAACTTGCTGTGATTATGTTTCTGGATGTGTGTTGAAGGTGGGCAAACTAGAGAAAGTCTCGCAGGAGCAGTTGCAGTCTTGGAGTAAAAGAGATGTAACTACATGGGTGGTAGCAGTGGGGAGGGAGAGAAACTGATAGATTTCAGAGGCTTGTGGGGCAGACTAAAGAAATAGGACTTGGTGATTGATGAAAGCTGGAAGTGAAGGCGAGGAGACAGCAATGAAAGCTGGGTTGCATTTTGTTACTGGGGATTAGCAATATCTTTGCCAGAGTGGTCAGAGTGGGAAGTGGTGGAAGGGTTAGGAGTTTGGACACACTAGTCTGGGTGCCTGGGAGACCCTTAAATGGAGAGGCCGGGAAGCAGTCAGATGTCTGGTTGGCGATCAGGGGAAGGGCGTTACAGCATAGAAACAACATCTGAGGACATAAGCACACCCGGGAGGACTCGAGAGGAACAGAAATAGGAGACACAGGTCACGGGTTTCACGGCCGAAGCCGACAGCCATATCCAATGTGAAATAAACAACACTATATGCTCATGTGTGTCAGAAGGGACTGAGTAAATGAGTTAAGAGAGAACTTCTGAGCAATCTGCATGTGGATGACATGAGAGTCGGCCTCTTGTTCTGTCTGGCCGAGGTGCGCTTCATCTCCTTCCCCTTCCTTGTGGCTGGGGGACCCCAGGAGAAGCCCCGTAGGCTGCGGCAGCAGACCCGAGCAGGGTGACCACTGGGCGAGAAGAAGGCGTCGCCAGGACCCTGAGTCAGACTTCAGGCCAGATTCGGTCCAGCTGCAGGTCTGCTCTGGCTCGAGAGGAAGCACTCCATCCCTGAGGCCATAGGCTGGGGGCGATGAGGTCATGTAGGGAACGGGGCGTCTCTTTGTTCTCGCACATTCAGACAACTGCGGGGTTTGCAGCGTGCTTTTTGTTACCTGGCTTGAGCCAGAACTGGCAACCGTAGAGGACATGGGCTTAAGCAAATTTTCTCTGAGGGGAGCAATGGGGAGAAAGGATAGTCAGGGAGTTTGGGAAGGTCATGTACACACTGCTACATTTAAAATGGATAACCAACAAGGTCTCACTGTATATCACAGGGAACTCTGGTCAGTGTTTTGTGGCAACCTGGGTGGGAGGGGAATTTAGGGGAGAATGGATACATGTATATGTATGGCTGAGTACCTTTTCTGTCCACCTGAAACTATCACAGCATTGTTAATCATCTGTATATCCCCAATATAAAATGAAAAGGTAAAAGAAATGTCTGAAGCTTCCCAGGTGGTAGTGGTAGAGAGCGTGCCTTCCAATGCAGGAGACATAAGAGATACGGGCTCCATCTCTGGTCTGGGAAGACCTCCTGGAGAAGGAAACAGCAACCCACTCCGATACTCTTGCTTGGAGAACCCAGGAGCAGAGGAGCCTGGTGCGTATAGTCCGTGGGGTCACAAAGAGTCGGTCACAACTGAAGTGACTAAACACACCAAAAAAAGGTCTACTCTGAAGGAACTTAGTAGGGGTGTGATAGATATTTTACAGTCTGGCATCTCTGAAACAATACAGCTCTAAACAACATGGTTGAATATAAATTATGTACACATGAGTTAACACTGATGTACAAAATACCCCCCAACCTGTCTCCTGACCCAGCATGCCCCTGCCAGCCCCCTGCCCTGCCGATTCCCGGCTGCACACCGCCTCCCTGGGGCTCTGGGCCCGGCCCTTCAGATCGCAGCCCTGCTCCGATGAGAACCAGCCCCAGAAGCGCAGGAACGGGACTCCGCCCCGCTCTGGTCCAGACAGAGGAACGCAGAGGAAAGAGACCGCTCCTTGTGAAGACTCTCCTCTTCCTCCTCTGACTGCCTCTCAGCTCTTTCTCTTTCACTTCTGATTTTGAAGGAGGCTCAAACTTCCAGTGCCATCATCTGAACACCTTCTCCTTCCAAATGCACCCCTGGTTTTACATATGATGTATGTATCTCCCCCTGGAGGAGGCTGGGGAGTCTCCCTCACTGTTTTCCCAGCTACGATTCAGGCTACCAGCTAAAGCCGGCACAGCCTATTGAGAAACAGAACTGGGTCCCTTCAGAGGTGAAGATAAGCAAGTTCTTTCTGCTCCAGTTTTGAGGGGTCCATCCATTTAAAACGTTAGACTATGCTGCAATGATTTTAAAACATCTTTCTTCAGACTTGATACCACCCTTCACTATCAAACTTCAGTCAGTTCACTTCAGTCACTCATTCGTGTCCAACTCTTTGTGACCCCAGGAATTGCAGNACTGTCTCCCCATCTATTTCCCATGAGGTGATGGGACCAGATGCCATGATCTTAGTTTTCTGAATGTTAAGCTTTAAGCCAACTTTTTCACTTTCCTCTTTCACTTTCATCAAGAGGCTTTTTAGTTCCTCTTCACTCTCTGCCATAAGGGTGGTGTCCTCTGCACTATCAGACTTGGCGTGGTGAAAATTTCAAACTGTAGTGTTAACCCACTCTGTAAGATTATAGTGTGCTAATTAATAGGCTGTAACACAGTCTCTACTAACTGCCCTTTTATTCATGTGTTACAGGAAGCCATGAATAAAAGTGAATTAAATAAATGGAAAAAACATTCTATTTTTACAGTTGTTTGTCTTTTCACATGGGGCAGAACCTGATCTTCATCAGCTCCTGAGTAACTTAAAGTGGTGTGTGGCATCTGTGGATGTCTGCCCCGCTAAGGTGGACTTGATAAATCTCACTTTGGTCTGCACTTCATGGCCAGAGTGCTCAGCATTAAGGGAGCCAGAGGAGCCTCAGCTGCCGGTTCTGGGTGTTGCCGGGAACCTGCTCTGCTGTGCTTCCCTGGGTGATGTCACAGGACTCAAGCCACAAAGAGAAAGGAGACAAGCTCTTACCGTTATCATTGCCCTGCCTGATCTCCTCTGCCGTCCGATCTATCAGCACGTACAAGGACCAGACCATGCAGGTGATGGCAATGACGTGGAAAGTGACCGAGCAGAAGATTTTCCTCCTTTCGCTGGTGGTCATCTGCAGTTTCTCCCACTGCAATCACAAACCAATTACACACAGTTGAGTCTCCAGCCAGGAAATCTTGCTCCCCGTTTATATCCCAGGCCTGGGTCATAAATGGGGAGAAAACATTACATTGCTGCCATTTTAGATGACACTAAAATATTCAAACAAGTCTTCATGTTTTAAAAGAACTACAACCATAAACTGTGGAGTTATAACTTTAAAAGTACATAGTAAAACAAAAACAAAAATATTTTCCTATTCTGCAAATAAGTAGTTCCTTGTAGTTTCCTTTTCTGTAACATGAAGGGGACAGTTTTAATATTATACAATTTTCAGAAACATTTTGGCTCAGGTTCCCACATATTACTTCTCTGTGGCCCTAGGTTATAAGCAGTCATACATAGTCTCTCCTTGGATTAATACATACCCTGACACAGTGTTGCATTCTCTTTTTTAAATCGGAGTATAGTTGCTTTACAATGTTGTTCGTTTCTGCTGCACAGGGAAGGTTATGTGTATACATAGATCCCTCCCTCTGGGGCCCCTCTCCCCTTCCCTGTCTCCTCCCACCCCCCTAGGTCATCTCAGAGCACTGAGTTGAGCTCCCGGTGCTACACAGTAGCTTCCCACCAGCTATTTCACACGGGCAGTGTATATGTGTCACTTCTGGTCTCCCCATTCACCCCACCCTCCAACATGTCCACAGTTCCCTTCTGTACGTCTGTGTCTCTATTCCTGCCCTCAAATAGGTTCATCTGTACCCTTTGTCTAGATTCCACACGCACCCCAATGTTCATTGCAGCACTATTTACAATAGCCAGGACATGGAAGCAACCTAAATGTCCACAGACAGATGAATGGATAAAGAAGATGTGGTACATCTATACAATGAAATATGACTCAGCTGTACCAAGGAATTAAATTGGGTCATTTGTAGAGACATGGACCTAGAGTCTGTTATACAAAGGGAAGTAAGTCAGAAACAGAAAAACAAATATCATATATTAATGCACGTGAGTGTTGCATTCTTAAATGTGTAAATTTATCAAGTATTTGAATGGCCGAATTTTATCTGAGAAAGAGTCAATGTGTGTCACAGCTCTCCTCCCAGAAGACACATTTTATCCTCCAGGCAACAGAAGAAAGTCAGCTGCAGCCCCTTTGGCCGCAGTCTTGCCTTCAGCTGCCAGCACTGTCACAGTCGCCGCGCTCGAGGCACGCTCCTCAGGAAGCCCAGGGCGTTTCTTAGTCGGCGAGAGGAGGAGGGCAGCCCCCGTGTAGCAGGAAGGGAGTCAGGGCGTGTGTGAGGAAACGTGTCCATGAGTTACTTTGCAGTAACAGGCTTTCAGGAGAAATTTTTACTATCAAACAACATTTTAATGCCTTGACAATTACTGTACCACTTCATTTACATTGTTAAGATTTGATCTTTACTTTTCTTCACATATTTCTATAGGAAAATCAAATCATTATGATCTTATTAGATCATGAATGTTTTTCGGCAATTCATGATTGTTTGCATTCTTTCTTAAAAAATTGTAGTTGATTTACATTGTTGTGTTAGTTTCAAATATAAGCAAACTACATAGTAGTTTCCCACTAGCTACTATGTAGCTTCTGCATTACAGGCAGATATATATATATATATGTATATATATATGTATATATGTATATTTATTATTATATATGTTTAATATATATTCTTTTTCAGATTCTCTCCATTATAGGTTATTGCAAGATACTGAGTATAGTTCCCTATGCTATACAGTAAGTCCTTGTTGATTATTTATTGTATATATAGTAGTGTGTATATGTTACTCCCAAACTCCTAATTTATTCCCTCTTCCTCTTTCCTCTTTGGTAATTATGAAATTAATTTCTATGTCTATGAGTCTATTGCTGTTTGTAAATAGGTTCATTTGTATCATATTTTAGATATCACATATAAGTGGTATCATATGGTATTTATCTTTCTCTGACTTCACTTAGTATGATAATTTCTAGCTCCATTTGTGTTACTGCAAATAGCGCTACTGCACTCTTTTTATGGCTGAGTAATATTCCATGTACACAGAATACTTCCACATATGTATCTATGTGTATATTTATGTCCCATCTTTATCCATCCATCTGTGGATGGCCATCTACATTGTTTCTGTATCTTAGCTATTGCAAATAGTGCTGCTATGAGTCTTTACATTTTTTATTTATTATGTTCCTGCTAAAGCAGAATCCTTAGACCTTCACAGTCCCACTCCTTGCCCAGCCCACCTCACACGTCATAAAGCCCCATAAAGGCCTGAATCTGCCGCCAGCTCTGAGACACGAGTGAGCCTCAACCTCTCCAGGCCCAGGTGCCTCATCCCCCTCAGAGGCAGAGACGGGTGGTGAGACACGATCCTCTCCTTTCCTTCACTAACAGACTAAGCCGTGAGGTCTGGCACCGTGCCGGGTAAAGCTGCTTTCCCACCTTCCTGGCAGAGGTGACATGGACTCTTCCCTACGAGTGAGATGTGAGTGTCTACTGGGATGCTGAGTTTTTACCCTCCTGACACAGGAATTGCCCCTTTCTCCTTCATTTTCGTTTCTTTGCTGCCTGGAATTCCCAATTAATGGTAGAAGTCCTAATAGTCATCTTGCAACCTTGAGGGAAAATCTTGAGAAGTAGAGAGACCTCAGCCCACCGGCCACAGCTCACCTCTGGCCGCCATGCTTATGTGAGGGAAATGAAGTCCTGTCTGAGCCACTGCCTCTCAGGGCCCTGCTCCTCACTGTCGAGGGCAACTCCTGATGGAAGGAAGTGAAACCTCCTGACTTCCCTACCAGTATGAACATTAGTGTCATATGACCACACCTTTGTGAGCACATGATCTGTAGCCCGCCAGGCTCCTCTGCCTATGCGATTTTTCAGGCAAGATACTGGAGTGAGTTGCCATTTCCTTCTCCAGGGGAATCTTCCCAAGCCAGGGACTGAACTGAAGTCTTCCACATTACAGGCAGATTCTTCACCACTCAGCCACCTGGGGAGCCCATTCCTCGCTTGCTGGCCAGTTAGTCATCACAGCATTTCCCATTCAGGGTCTGTTAGAGCCGGTTAACCTAATCTTGGACTCCTTCTCATCAAACTATATTTTCTCTATTATTCTAAGTAAGTAACGGAGAAATCTTTGTAATGAAACTAGGGGAAAACCAAATGCTTCAATCTATCTATAGAATCTATTTTTAATTAATCAACATTGAAATGAGAAGATTTCAGGGCTTTTTATCACAACTTCACAAGTGTGAAAGATTGTTTTTGAAATTTCATTGTGTTATTGTATTTCTTTATTGTGATATTAGTCTAAATACTGTGTGATAATGGACTAGAACATTATTCATTTGGCAACAGCATTTCGTGATTTAGTAACTATTTCTTAAATTACCTCAGTATTTAATATAAAAAGATAAAAAGTGCAGGATGGTGCACAAGGGCAGCTTTACATGTTCAAATTTCCTAAATGTTCTAAGTGTTACAATACCGTCAGTAACAAAATATTCATAATAAATCAACCCTCCCTTGTAAAGCTGGCTTTGGGGCGGGGGGGGGGGGGAAGCGCTTAAAAAGTGGGTCTTTTTTTAATCTAAAGACCGTTTTGATGAAGTGGTTGAAACATATTGTTTAAAATTCATCAGCCTCAATAGAAAAATATCAGAGGGCTGACAGGTATAAAGCAAACTCCTTTTAGTTCTAGACAATAGTAGTTCTGAAGCTGTCACTTCCTAATCGCAGCAGCGTTTCAAGGAGAAGTGGAGTGTAAAAGGGACCGTCAGACGTTGCGGTTACACTCTCCTTTATAAATCCTCGCAGGGACCGCCCAGGAATCCCGACAGCGCACGGCTAAACGCGGTACCGCGGCGCCCTCTTCCGGACGGTCACGTCACTGCACGTGGCACCCAGCACGCGGCGCCAACACAATTTAAACCGTTTTATGAAATGTTCATCCATCCACATCTTTGAATTTTCAAGTTTAAAGACTGAATACGTTTTGCAAGCCGCCACAGTGAGAAGTGGATCAAGAAGGCAAGGATATAAATCTTATGTTAACAAACTTGTCAGAAAGGGCAAATACTAATTTCTTATTTAAGAAGCTGAAATTCAATACTAGTTCATTAAAAGATTTGACAGCAAAGGACTATATGCACAAATGCACAGAGCATCAGAGCTCCCCTTCCAATTTAATAAAATAATGTGTGCTTCTGCCCACAGGTCCGTGTCCTGTGCGGACCCACGTCCCCGCCCCAGCCTGGAAGATTAGGAGGCGCCCTCTAGGTGCTGCTTTAAGGAGACACCTCTCTCCAGAGGGTCTCAGGGGAGCTGCTGGAAGTAACCAGAAACAGGAAGGCGGGAGGGGAGCCCGCATATTCTCTCAAGTGCCCAGGGCTCTTTCCCGGCAAGTCCCTGCCCTCCTCGGTCCATGCACTTTACTTCACCTGCAAAACCAGCTGCACAGTCTTAGCGCCTCAGACCTCGCTTCCCTTTATAGGATCCCTGGGTCTCTGGCACCTGTTTTACTGTCCTTAGCCTTTGGTCCCTTATCCAGAGCCTTCAACGACAGAAAGAATTGAACAGAACTCCTTTATTCAACTTAGAAATACACAATTAGATTATTCTGAAAATATTTCCAAATTGGAGTCTAAATTGATGTTGACACGGTGTCTGTAAAATTCTGTTTGTTTTAGCGAGATGAAACTGAGCGTTTTCTAATTTAAATTACTTGTATTTTCAGCCTGTTCTGATATATAAATTTAAAACAACAACAAACACTGCCTAGTAAGAGTGCTTTAAAAATTTTTGTACCAGTGAAAAATAGGGCAGCTTACTTGTATGATATCAACACACACGAGATGGGTGCTGCTTTACCAAGTCCTTTTTTTTTTTTTTTTTTCGTTCTTGACTCGGCCCCACTGTTTTTTTCAAGTTTCCTAAGGGAGCCTCCTCGTTTCCTAAGCTTCCAAGTTTCCTAAGGAGTTTCCTAAAGGAGCCAGAATCTCAGCGTCTGTGTCATGGTAAAGCAAAAGCCACCACCAGGGGGCGTCGGCCCACCAAGCTCCTGGTTCCAAGCTGACTTTCCAGGGCCCCAGAGATCCCAGAGTCCCCACCAGCGGCTGGCAGGCTCTTCTCGGTCATTTCAGCAACCCAGACTAAATGCAAAGGCACACTGTAGCCCTTTAAAAATTCCCAGCCCTGCTTATCATGTTATGGTGATAGCATGAATGAAAATAATATTTGGAACAGCAGGTTTAGTTTGTTACATTATCTACAGGCCCAATGGGCCTCCCTCCTGGCTCAGTGGTAGGTAAACAATCTGCCTGCCAATGAAGGAGATGCCAGTTCAATCCCTGGGCCAGGAAGATCCCTTGGAAAGGCAATGGCAATCAACGTCAGTATTCTTGCCTGGGAAATCCCATGGACAGAGGAGCCTGGCAGACTACAGTGCATGGATGGCAAAAGAGTCAGAGGCGACTTGACAAGCAAGCACCACCACCTACAGCACACCCGTGTGACTCATTGTGCCAGCCAGTCTGGAGCAGGAGGGAGTCTGGGGCTGAAAGACTGACCAGATTCCTGCAGGCCCCCTTGGTCTAGGACAGTGGTTCTTTTTTAAATTCTTAGTTTGTTTTTTTTTAATTGAAGTATAGCTGATTTACAATGTTATGTTAATATCCTTTATATAGCAAAGTGATTCAGTTATGCACACACATACTTATTCTTTTAAAAATATTCTTTTCTATTATGGTTTCTCATAGACTATTGAAT